CCCCCCCCCTCGCTTTGTCGGTATACGCAGATGAAATGCGAGTCGCGCGCTCAAGAATCTGTTCGATTTGAATATATATAGAACTCGAAACGTAAATACTCTCTGTAGCCCGCGAATCTACAAGGTGACGAAAAAGTTTGGACACAAAGTTTTATGTTCATTAAATCGTTAGTAAATACAATTTACAAAAAAGCAAACTTTGGAGTTTTGGAGTATCAATTATATCTTATTAAATATCAAAAAGATTCTGCACCGTTATAATGCGTTCTCGAAGCGCAAGTTAAAGTTTGTATCTATATATATATATATATACACACACAAAATATTAGGTCCGCAGCATCGATGCTTAACCGAGGCAAGAATATTTAAATGTATACACATCTTTGCAAGTATATTGTAATTTACGATATAAAAAAAATATATGAATAATTCAAATATGAACAGGTGGTTAATTCAACTGAATTATAGATGGTAAAAATATCCAATGCTAAATATTATCAATGCAAGTTGTAGGTAACCCTAATCGACCGATTGTGAGTAAATAGCGGTCGCACATCGGGAGTGCGAAAAAAAAAAAATACGTCATATAATTTAATAATTCTAGTTGCGAAAACTCACAACGTGCTATAACTCTTCGCGATCTGCTGCGTACATTAGCCGGAGAAAAACTGTGTTTGCTTACATGCAGCATAAACATCCGGGGCGCGGAACGTTCCGGGGGTGAAAGGAGACCAGGGGCGGTCGTGTATTTTATGTGCGACGACGTAGAGACAGTTAAGGCGAAGAAAAAGGCACGCACGCGGCCAGGACTGTAGTACAATTTTCCGTCGCGCAAGTAAGCCGCTTACGAAAAGCGGGCTCGAGTCGCCGTTTCTCATGTTACCTGGCGCGAGTTATGGCAGCGTATGTGTGCGCGTCCGACGTACATACACTGGCGAACGAGTCGCGCCTCGCCGGCAAAGAAAAACGTTTCGAGCACGATCGTTTGTTTTCACCGAGATTCCGCGAGTTCGCTGAGAACCGCTGAATATAATGCAACGGGAAAGCTCCGCGAAGTCTCGCGCTATCACCGAGTGTCAAATACGATAATTACGTACTTAAAATGTCACATGTACTTTCGTAAATTCGCACGTATACCAGAATCTCTTTATGAGAACCAATTAATATATACGTATTTAATAGTATTAAATTTCGAAATCAAATGATATTAATCATCAATGTTAACTCAAGGTATATTCTTAATTTTAACAGAGCAGATCCTATTTAAAAACAAAATCCTTTCCTTTAAAAAAGTTTAGTAGGAGAATCTCATGAAAAAGTATTCTGTTTATTATTCTAAAGAATAAAAATTAAAAAATCACCAAAAAACAAAACAGTTAAATAGTAAACATATCTCTCGCCGCGACGCTATAACATGAAATGTCGTAAAGAAACTCTGTATCTACAGTTAGAAAATGAATACACTTTTTATTGTACTAATAAAAAAAAATTATTGTTCCATTGCTTTCTTCTAGATATTTAGCAACTTTTATCTAATCGTTAACAAATTTACGTCATGATAGATGAAAAATAAAAGCGCGTGATTACAAATAATCCGATAAATTTCACTGAAATCAACAGCTTTTAGAATCAACACATAGAATATGTTTAAAAACTAGAAAGCAGATTTGAAAAAATGTTACGAATAAGTTTATACGTGAAATATATAATAAATTGTCACATTCATAAAAAAGATGTGTCAATTCAGCTTTAACCTTTATTCAAGCAGATTCTTTTTTTCATAAATCTATTCGATTTATTTTATTCGTTCGCTTTACATGTGTGTGACGTCTGAAATATTTCAATTTTCATTTACAGACAATCTTTATTAATCTGGAATTTTATATTCATAATTTTAATACATCATTTAATGAACGAATCACACAGTTTACTTACAGTTCTCATACATTAGTATATTTTTCATGATTATTTCATATATTTTTGTTACATATGAAAGAGGAAAATCTATATTCTATTTTATAAGTTAATAGATATTGTCTTTAAATCGGATTTCAAAAAATGAAATTTAAAAAAAGATATATATATATATAACGTTGAATATTAATACAATAATATATATATATACAATATTATATTTAGAAAAAAAGATTTATATATGTCAGTTCGTTAGTAAAAAAATATGGCACATAAAACTATACATTTAACATTAACATCATAGCATTAAATTACTCGGGCAAAAATTACTTCGCCGAAGAAAATATATCGTTCAAATAAGAGTTAATGTGTCACTGTTGAATCAGATCGCGCGTGTTGTTGATACAGAACGAATCGTTGGCAAAATTCGTCGCGACGCCGACGAAAAATTTTGATCGGAAAAAACGAGAGGCTTAGTTTTATCAATAATTATTACGCAGAGCTGGCAGCCACAACTAACGTTCAGATATTTCTCTTTCTCTCGTGACTTCTCTCGCGTGCTCGAGAGCCTCTGTCTCTTTCTCTCTCATTCTTTTTCTTTCTCTTTCTCTCATTCTGCCGATCGAATCGATATACGTGCACGAATGCGGCTTCGAGCTTCGTCCACTTCTTCTTTCACGTGACTACCGCAGGAAAGAAGGCCGACCGAATCAATATCTCACACAGACATTTCGTCCTCGTCCTCGTCGTTGTCTCTATGAGCTCCTCGTACCCTCCGAAGGTCGTTCTCATTGTCTGACAATGACTCGAAATCCGACGGTGCAAAACAAATCTATGAATCTCTAATTAATCTGTCTTTTTATACCGTACTTCGACCGACGCAAAACATTCGCGTATCTATCGCATGCATGTGAGAGCACGTGCACCGAATGTGAGCGCGCAGGAAGCACGCATGCACGTATTAAGTTATATGGAACCTTAATAAGAATTTCACATAACTATTTGACACTTTAATCAATTTCAAGTATCATTAAAAATTACAGCAAGCTCGAAACATTGCATGAAAATTGAATTAGAACATTGACGATTCATGAGAGATGGCATATCATCATGCTAAACAACCTTGGAATGTTTCCATTTCTATTCTATTTCTGTTTTTTGATAAATATTTAATGCCCTCTTGTTTTACAACTTTCAAAGTCTAATAACCCAAAATTTTATACACACACATAAAAAGTCTAATAGAAAGAAGAACTCTAAATCTACCAAAATTAATTAAAATAAGATGTTATGAATATTATATGATTTACACGTTTAATCTTTCAAAACAGTTTAAATTTTAATATTGAACATATCGGAAAATTAATTAAGAATTCAATAAATTTATCAACCATTATTTAATTCTCTTCCTAATATAAGAGTATATTTGTATTATACGTACACACGCATAGCATTTTCATAAAGTGCAAAATAAAAATTAAAAAGAAAATAGGTCTCGTTTCAATTTGAAAATAGCCACATGCCGGATATTAACCAGAGATGTGGTTTTCGTATTGCGAGCTTTTACTTGGTTGGGCGGTTCATTTATAACATTACCATTATAATGCACCGGTTGGATACGTGATTGCGGTCGATTGGACAAATTCGTCGACGATATACCAAGCGAGAACCAACGATTCGATCGACAGAGGATCAGCGCATACATGAGAACGAGAGAGAAAGTTACATAAATAGAGACACACACACAACGCCGGAGATGAGAGAGAAAAAAAGAGAAGAGGACAAAGAGTGGTGAGGTAGAAAAAATGATTTTTAACATTTCCGATAGATTGCACCTGATTACCCGGATCGTACGAGCGGGCACATGCAATTCTGCACGCGGATAGCCGTGTGCGTGTATGCATGAGCACGCTCGTTCATTCGATAGGGCTCCCTTTGTGCGCGAGACCGAGAGTAAAGTAAAAAAAAAGGAGGCGAAATTAACGGAATGAAACAATGGGAACGACCGGGCTTAAGGGTTGCTGCCAGCTGTGTAATGGAATTAGGTCCGATTAAATTAGCTAAAAGGATTTTAGGTATGTACCGAAGGAGCAAACTACGTTTTCGATATTATCGTATTTCTTTCTCGTGCTCGCGAATACAACCGGTACTCTATTCGCCACTACCCTTTTTCTCTGTCTCCCTCTTAATGCAACTCCAATAACTGCTACGTATATACCTCACATTCATATAGGTTTCTAAGTGGAGAGTCTAAATGTTTTTTCCATCTCATAAAAGGGAGGAGGATGATACTTTACATGTTCAAATTTTGAAAGTTAATCATTTTTTGAAATATGAAATCGCTTTACCTGAAAAAACAGCGAAAAAAAATTTAGTAATAGATATATAAGTTTATTTATTTACATTTTGTTCTATGGTTATCAACTTCAATAATTTATTAAATGAACTAATGGAAACAATCAAATTAATAAGTTAATAATTCTTAAAATTCTTTAATGCAGATACACACCATCGAAATAACTTTAATTAATGATTTTATTTTAAAGAAGACTGTAAAAGAGAAAAAGAAATATAGATAGATAAATAAATATCGAAATTTATTAAACACTGTAGAACTGTATCCTCTTAAACGTTGAAAACATACTTAAAAAATAAAAATATGTAAAATATTAAGAGCAAAATAAAGCTAATGAAAAACTAACAAAAATAAAAATCATAAAAA